CAACATGTTGTAGTTCAGCATGGTAGTAGCGTTGCTACTACAGGAGAAGGGGGAAGAGGGCTGCACAGCTGGAGGACAACAACTATAAAACTTGCACCAGACATGCGAAAATAATTATGAAATAATTACGAAATAATTACGAAATAAATTGAAAAAATTGTTTCAAATCTAATTTACTCCTCACACTATTCCTGCATGGCTCAATATTGGATCGTAAGCTAATTTAAATACGAATTAATAACAAATTACGAAATTAACGAACGAAACCGCCCAAGCCTAATAGACATTGATTACTTTATCCGGGTCTTCCTGTTGCCATCAGATAGGACACAATGGAGGGACTGGGGTGAACGTTTGTCATGGCAAGTTTTGAAAGGAGAAACAGTTTTGGGGGAAAAGACCCTCTCTAGGGTCTTCCGCCCCCCCCCCCAGGGTGACGTGATCAAAGGTGCCAAGCGAAACCTTTTCATTGAATGGGCCAACTACGAGGTTCAATTTGAGGTTTCCAAATCTATGTTTCCATGCATGAGTAATCATGATAAGAGTCCTTTGTGTTTGCTAATTGTCCTTTTCAACAGCTGGCTGCTTCCTTGATGAGTTTCCCCCAAGGGGGAGGGAAAGGGGCGATGGGTTGGGTGCCAGGGCAAAAAATGAGGAAAACTACACGGGGAAATCATAGGAATCCAAAGAAATTCATATCAAGCATCCCTTCCCACCCCCTGCCCCCCAGAGAAATTGATTAAAATAATAACTTTATTAAAATATGTGTCCATAATTCATACTGGGGAAGTTCAGATGCAAAAATGAGTTCTTTAGAGCCAAAAAGAATTGAAGAAAGTCCAACAGTCACAAAAGGAGCTGGGTGATTTCCATTGAGCCAAGAAATGGATTCCGGTAGCGCCAGGATCGAGACTTGTCCTTGGCCCTTGGAAAACTGTAACTCTTTCCAAGGGCTGGAGCCCAGGGACCAATCTGCTCCCTGAAAACCTCCTGGGGTCCTTGCTGTTGTTAGTGTCTTGGCAAATTGACCAAGACCTAACCCCTATTGTGCAGTCTGGTGCCCTTGCCCTTTGCAGAACTATAAGTTACCATCCCTAATTGGCGGGGGGGACGGGACATGTTCGACTTCACTGTAACATATTTACACAGTCTTTGTAATAATAAACATAAAATAAAGTGTCTTCTAAGCAACAAATGGGAAATCAAAACAACCTGAAGTAAATAGCTATTTCACCATCAGCATCTCCTGCTGGAACTCCACACTGGTGAAACAGAACTCCAGCAGTAGCCCACCAGAAATCCAGCACCCACCACAATGTATTCAAAAAACTCAAACAGTTATAGCCCTTTGATCGTGGCACAAGATTGCTGCTTGACCTACTTATTCAGCTAAACAAGATGATTACAAACAGTAAGGTTTTTCTTCACACATATACTTGTGTCCTGCAAGGACTTACCATAACACAACGCTCTAGAAATCTCTAGCTCCTCCAGCATGGCTCTAGGATCAGCCTCTGGCAAAACGTGACCAAAGAGTTGCACTTGAGGATCTAGAAATTCCTATAGAGAAATTTTAATCAAACTTGTGAAAATGTCAAATCTGCAACAATCAAACTTGCAAACTGGGTGGGCTGGTTGGAATATGATGTATGAAGAGGAGAAGGTGCTTGTCTGCCCATTTGGATAAGGGTCACAACTACAAGGGAGCGGAAGGTCTTATTCTGAATGTGCACAGACGACATTGTCATCAGCATACTGGAGTTCTATAACAGATGTTGTTGTAACCTTGGTTTTGGCTTTCAGTCTCCTGAGGTTAAATAGCTTGCCATCTGTCCGATAGATGATTTCCACTCCGGTGAGAGAAGAAACCGTTGTCTGTTTGAATCAAGCATGAAAGTTGCAATTAGCCAGCTTGATTAGCATTGGGTTGTTGTAGGTTTTTCCGGGCTATATGGCCATGTTCTGGAGGCAATTTTTCTCCTGACGTTTCGCCTGCATCTATGGCAAGCATCCTCAGAGGTAGTGAGGTCTGTTGGAAGTAGGAAAAATGGGTTTATATATCTGTGGAATGACCAGGGTGAGACAAAGGACTTTTGTCTGCTGGGGCTAGGTGTGAATGTTTCAGCTGATCACCTTGATTAGCATTCAATGGCTTGGAAGTGCCTGGGGGGAATCTTTTGTTGAGAGTGATTTTATGTGCCTGTTTGTTTCCCCTCTGTTGTTTTGCTGTTGTAATTTTTGAGTTTTTTAATACTGGTAGCCAGATTTTGTTCATTTTCATGGTTTCTTCCTTTCTGTTGAAATTGTCCACGTGCTTGTGGATTTCAATGGCTTCTCTGTATAGTCCGACATGGTGGTTGTGAGAGTGGTCCAGCATTTCTGTGTTCTCGAATAATATGCTGTGTCCAGGTTGGTTCATCAGGTGCTCCAAAACATGGCCATATAGCCCGGAAAAACCTACAACAACCCAGTGATTCCGGCCATGAAAGCCTTCGACAATACATTGATTAGCATTGAGTAGCCTTGCAGCTGCAAAGCCCGCCTGTTGTTGCCTGGGGGGCATCCTTTGTTTGGGAGGTGTTAACTGGCACTTGATTGTTGGCTGTCTGGAATCCCCCTGTTTCTGAGTGGTGTTCTTTATTTGATTCTGGTAACCAGATTTTGTAAATTTTCATAGTTTCCTCCTTTCTGTTGAAGTTGTTCACATGCTTGTGGATTTCAGTGGCTTCTCTGTATAGTCTTATTTTAAAATTACATTTACCTGCTATTGGGGCAGGGCCTAAGCATGGATTACTAGCCACTGTGATGTGTTGACATCTGAAGTTGGCTCAAGAAGACCAGAGCCTCAATGAACTGCTAACTGGTGCTCCTGGCAGGTATGTGGTGGCATCTGGCCAGCTTTGAGGTGTGGCTGGGAAGGAGTAGCATGTGCCCGTAACGTTACTCTCGCTGCATAAGTGCACGCAACAGCTTTCCACCAGCTGGTGCTTTGAAAGGGGACCATGATGATGGGCACTACCAGCTGCAGCCTTCAGGGTTCTTGTCAGTAGTGTGCCATGAAAATGTGGCATTTGATGGCAAACCTCCTCGCACCCCACAGCTATGCGTTAGT